AAAGAGACTTCAAATCTGACCAACTAGTGCGAAATTGATGACCTTTGTGTCAAGCAAGTCTTACACTTCATCTATGAAAGCTTTACAATATTCAGTTGAACGGCCAGGTGCCCTAGCATGGTAGTTACGAAGCTTAATCAACCGAGCTTCCAACACACGAGGAAGTAACTGGATTCAAGGTATAGAGATTGTATCAACATGCTTCTCAGGTTTCTTCTATCTTTGCTGATAAGCTTTGCCCTATAGGTTCACTTGAAGACTAGAAACTAGCTACTAACAAGAAAATTCAGGAACATGAAGTTCTGGATGAGACCCACAAAGTATCCCTTGATTTGAAAATTTTCTAATATAATGGATGAATGATAGTTCCTATTGCAACAACATATATATGATCACTTCCCTTTGCTGGCATTGTCTTTAGAGCTTCCATAACCGACTCAACTGAGTCCTCAACTGGTTATTTTTTCCCTTTAAGGATTTCTGACTATGGGCCATTGCCTGCATGTCCCAAATAAATAGCCCCATCTGATTTTTTATCTCATTATCTCATCCAATTCCCCACGAAGTCGTTCCATGGCTTTTTCGGATAACAGAGCGGTGAGAAGTCAAGATTAACAGTTCTGAGAAGAAAATACTGAGTCAGAATAAGAATAAGAACTTCCCCACTCTGACTACCTATTATGAATGCGTGAAGATGTATGAGGTGAATGGGTGGTTTCAATGCCATGTTCAATTATTTTCAAGGAACCCGCATGTTTTAGTTTTGATTTCGATCCAGTAAGAGATAAATAAACATAACATAATGTTCAAAAGTACGATTCCTTGGAAATAGAAAGAACATGTGTGTTAACTTTTTTCATGCATACACTTTTTTACACATTTCTGTTTTGTGAAAATAAATATGCTATGATGCAAGTGCAACATCATGGGTTCAAAAGTTCAGCATATCAACTGTACAATCCTCTGGATAATTGCTGTATAAATCTGCTGAGTAATCCGAATATCACACAATCAAAGGTTCGACACCAATTTCAGAACACAAAGGAACCAAGTAGCATGAATAATCATTGTATAATCTCTGAACAAGTTGAATATACCAGGATCAAAGGTCCAAAACATAACCAAAGAACCATAGTCACCAATAGAACGAAACGGTCACCAACAGAACATAGTCACCATCTGTACCTGTGAAAATCAATCATCCTGCCCACTCAGGAGTATAACTAGGTCAAGGTAGTCATGGATAATCAGATCACTGGTCACCCGAAGGTAGGTCATGAAGACTTTATCTTTATGTAAGTTGCCTTGATAAAAAGTGTCTTTTTGTTGACTTTTGAAATGACCTATAATTTATTGGCCCATATCTCTCAAATGAAGCATTTTTGGACTTGATCTTAGAGAGGAAAAGTTGTAGAGAATTGAATTTCATTTAAAATGAGCTTTGGTTGAGAAAAATATGATGAAGCATGTGAGAGTTGTGTTTGGTCAAAGTTCAATTGACTTCTCCTTAAGAAATCCCTAATTTGGTAACTTTTGACTTTTGATGAATCTTGAGTTTTATTGATGAATGATGATCAACCCTTGATCAAATGATTAATGTGACTTCAAAATCTTGATGTTGACCAAAAATCTTGAAGTTTGACTGTATGTTGATCATAGTTGACTTTTTGTCCAACATAGTTGATTTTCAATCATTTGAGTAATTGACTGAGCAAACTTGTGATACAAAGCTTGAAATTTGGCATGAGAATTTCTTGAGACATATAAGGAACCATGAAATCCCCTTGAGGCATTGTAAGCTCAAATTTGCTTGAGAAAAGTGAAACCCTAGTTGTAGGTCAATTGCTTAGGAGGAGAATTTGTCTGATCAAACCTTGAGTAGCCTTGAGCAATTGAAAACCCTTGGAGCATGAGGAGATATCTTGAAGAAAATGGGAGGGAAAATTTTAGGGTACAACAACTGCCCCTGTCCAATATTCTTAAACCTGAAGAGTTAGATTGACACGTCCGTCATTCGTGATCTAAAGGTGGAAGAGGATTGAACACTTAAGTGCTCAGAAATTTGCACTCGCCGGTGCATGAAGTAACGTTGTTGGTTTCTAGTATTGCTTGTATGGGCTTAAAGATGACATTTAGAGAGATGATAGAATGTCTCCAGGGATGGGCTTGTAGATGCCATCTGAAGTAACCGTTGATAAAAGTATCGGAATGAGTCTACGCCTGACTGTATCTGAAAAGTGTTTTTTTGGAAAATTTCTGAAGAAAATGCTTTTCAGCACAAAGGCCCTGAAGGAGATGCTTTTCAGAATTCAGTCTCTCACGGGAGACGCTTTTCAGAATTAGGTCTCTGAGGGAAATCATTTGGTCATGCAGATAGTCGCCCCGTCTTGTTTCGGGAATTGATCTACACTCTGTTCTTTGTTGGTAAACCCGTCCTATTTCGGGAATTCATACCGCTTGGTCATATAGATAGTTATCCCGTCCTATTTCGGGAATTAATCTATGACTCGATTTTTTATTGGTAAACCCGTCCTGTTTTGGGAATTCATACAACTTGGTCATATAGATAGTTGCCCCGTCCGATTTCGGGAATTAATCTCTGACCCACTTTTGTTGGTAAACCCGTCCTGTTTCGGGAATTCATACTGCTTGGTCGTATAGATAGTGAAGGAACTGGACAAAAATCATCGGATAAAAATCAATAAAGTCGCCACTGAACATCTATTTATCTCACGAAGGAAAAAGGGAAATATCGAAGAAAACCCGAAAGGGAGAAATCACGGTCTTTCGACTAAGATATCGGGTAAGGAAGTAGGTTACGTGAGGGGAAGGTATTAGCACCCCACACGTCTGTAGTACTCTGTGGTATCCACTCTTATTGTTTAGCTAAGGGGTGTGTTCAAACTCTATGTCTAGGCTTAAGAGCTAAAAAAATGCAAAGAGGGAATGTATGCAAAAGAAAAGAGAAAATAATGTAGGGAAAAATAAAATTTGTGCTCGTTCGGGCCCTACCCCAATGCCTACATAACCCTTTTAAAGAATTAGAGCAACCATAGTTCGGCTCAATAGTTTTTTGTAGGTTTGTATTTTTTATGGAACGACATCAATTTCGCATTCTACCTGCAGCTCAACCTTTGGAGACTTATGCATCTAGAGTAGGAAGGAATTAATGTGCTCAAAAAGTGTCCGGAGGCGAATAATGCTATCGTCAGGACTCGTAGCAAGTAGACATGGTGCAACCCGACCCTTGGGGAATTACGCGTCATATTGCGTAGAGGGACAATAACACATCCAATTTGAAATCTAAAGGCCAAAAGGCAAGAAAATAAGAAGTTTGCATTTGTTTGTGTCTTTTACCTTTGTGAAAGGGTTTTGAGCTTATTAGAGGCGTTTTAAAGATTTTCCAAGAAATAATGTATTTTATGCACATGCAAAGTGGGGAAAAAGGAAGAGTCTACGAGGGACTATCCTATTTCTAGCCTAGAGCTATCATACAAACATTTCCTTAAGGTTCAGACTAAGGTTTACTAGGAACCAACTCATCCGAGAAAGAACCATCCTAGTTGCTATTTGGAATAAACTCATCGTCGATAATAATCCGCAAGTTCTAAGTGAGCATGGCAAAGAGGTAAGCGCATGAGAAAAATGAGCAAATGAAACAAACTCATCATTAAGAGTGAACCAATACAAAAGAGGGAACAAACTCATCATTGAGAATGAGCCGCGACACATAATATCCAAGTATTTATTTTCTTTTTATGCTTATCCAACAAATAACATAAAGAGAGATCAAACTCATCATCAAGAATGAACCAAGCCAAGCCTCAAAGGGAACACTCCATTCGGGTATAAACCAAGCACACAACATTATTATTCCTTTATTTGTATTTTTGACATAATTGTAAATGAAAAAAGTAATGTAAATCGAATCCACTTGGAACAAACTCATCACCGAGAATGAATCCAAGACCAAGTATCAAACACATCATCGAGAATGACACAAAAACATGACATGCGAGAAAATAAACACACGTGCAGAATTTCCTATTCAAAGATAGGACTCTAAACAAACACAATTAACATACAGAAAGCAGTGCCTGCTAAAGCACTTTAAACAGCGACTTCGAGTGCACGCTCTTTATTTCCTACTTCCTACTTCTCATGATATCTAGAAAAGCGGTAAAATACAGAATGATAAACCAGGGAAAATACCAAACGAACAAGAGTTTGTAGCACAGCTAGCAAAGCAGAGAAACCCGAAAAACTTCGAGTAAACTTCACCAAGCAATAGAAAAGAGTAAAAAACAATATGCTCGGAATAAGTGTCGAAGCATCATCGATGTGAAAATAAATCAAAATCAAAATCTTGAGCATATCCTCATATCGCACAATAAACCTGCATAAGACTCAAATCTCAATAAGCAAAGGTGAATTACAAATTTCAAGTAATCGGGTAATCAGGATTTAATTCCTAAAACCAAGTAAAAAATCTAACAATTTTATATTTGAGTTTATTATTTTTATTGTGTGAAGAAAAAGTTTAAACAAAACTAAACAATTCACAAAATTATTTAAAAGAAAATACTAAAAGAATAAACTCAGGGGGTGCAATCAAACAACCCAAGGGTGTAGGAGCAATCTGGGCACTAAGCCCAGCCAAATCAGGATCCAATCAGCTTTTTTGTTACAAGCCATCAGCATGCCAAAAAACAGTTGTTATGGGATTTGGGGGTGCAAGCTGAAATCCAGGAGTGCTGGAGAAATCTGATGGTGCAAAGTCAGGGCGCTATGCCCAATCTGCACGAGTCCAAAAAGTCTGTTTTTGTTGACATTGTTTCAGGCTTCAAAAACCAAGTGATACAGGCTCAATAATGAAATTTCGAACAACAAGGCCCAACAAATTTAACCTCCACTACCATCCAATTTCCAACAGATTTATTCAACTTCTGACTTTCTTCAATTTGAAATAATAATAAAACAAAAATTTTAAACATAGATGAATGGATACGGTGTTGTTTTGGAGAGTCTGGTTAGGGTTAGGAGAAGTGGCTTTTAGACTTCATAAAGCTGATTTTCTTCTTCTTCTTCCTCCTTGCAAAATGACGCGTCTCATTCTCTGGCGAATATCAGTGATCCACCACCGTCATTTCGACCCTGGAATCCTCATCCACATTGAACCCCACATACGAACCTAGCTTCAGATTCTTCCAATATCTTGCGATGTCACTCTAAATCGGAAACCCTAGCAGTCTCGAAGCTTCAATTGAACGGCACAGATTACTCCATTCGAGCTAAAACCATGGGAGAAGATCCTGTGGGAATGAGAACTACATGTCTGTATCAAGAAGAGGGTGAAACACTTACTTCGACAGCGGCGCCGATGTCAAACTCCGGGAAGCACCTTAAATCCGTGGTGAACTCTATTCTTCCAATTCTCTTTCTCTTCTCTGAATTCTTGTGTTTTCTTCGGTTTGCATCTTTGTTTGATCTCTTCTTCTTCTACTTTATCTTTTTCTTCTTCTACTACGTTATTGCATTTTCTTTGATGCACGAATCAATACGATTGTCACATGTTCTAGGTTTACGATGGTAGTACGAAGTGACGTGGACACAACTGTGTGATGAAATTGGATGCACGGGTTGCAGTATGTTGAGAGTTGTTGAGAAGATGAGGCTTATCAGAGAAGCTTAAAATTGAAACGTTGACGGAGATTTGTGAGGTTATGGATTCAGAGAGAAAGTGCAGAGAAGAGAGAGCAGAGAGATAACTTTTCATTTTTGTTGATTCTGCAGAGACTGAAGAAGGATCGAAGATGAAGATGCTATTGTTTGTTGCAGATGAAGGCTGAAGAATCAATGGTGATGAAGGTTATGCAGAGGAAAGCCAGTTACAGAGAGAGTTTATGGTTGAAGATGGAAGAAGAGAGCAGAGAGAAGACGAGAGAGTTTGTTCTATGATTCTTCAGAGAATTGAAGAATGAATGATTTTGGTACGTTTTTTATCTTTATATTCTGTTATGACAGGAAATAGTTAGTATGAGCTGGCATTGGCAGTTAGAGAGTTAGTTAGGGACTCTGAAATTGTGTTAGGATGAGCTGGAGTTTGAGTTCACTATTTGATTTTTATCTGGTGTTTTCTGTTACGCAACTCATATGCCTCCTATTTTTTCCGCTAATTCCCTAATTTTTATTCACGCTTTTTCTGGTTTCCTTGTTTCCTTTTTATATCTTCTCTATTTTACTCTGAATTTTTGTTAATGGCATAGTGTAAACCTGGTTCTAGTTTGATGAATTCGATCCTGTTTTGGATATTTAGAAGGTAAAGTCAGTAGGTTGCTTTTGACTTGAACCGTAACTTGCATTTGATATGAATATTGAACTAAACTTAGCATGGTTGTATTTGCTTTTTCCTTATTCTGAAAAACTGTGATGTGGATTGTATGTGACTTGCATTTACACTGATGAATCCTCCAAATCTGGACAGTGATAATTAACTCTGAGCTACTCCTGAAATTTATTTTTGTTTATTTCATGGTGCATTTGTGAATTGCTTCTGCCGGTTTTTGGCTTTTGAATTGAATTGGTTGTATGGTGTTAGATGAAATGATGAGTTTGATTGAACAAATGCAGGGCCATGCTTCAAAGCATAGTTTTATGTAGTTCATGAATGGAGACGGATTAAAGATTAGCTGGGTCATAGTGATGGCATAGGCTTTGGCATGATGATGGAATAAGTGGCACGACTGTACATAGTTTGAAGAGGATAAACATGAAGCATGGCATGAAGGAGTTTAGGCTTAAGATATATTTTTTTATATAAATGTATTGATGTAAGGACAATGAACTTGTGATCTTGAAATGGTATTTGTAATGATTCCATACTTGAAAATTCAATGACACTTGATGCTTTGTATCTTGGAGATGAAATAGGACTTGAATCTTTCTTTCCCTCCAAAAGCTTCTTTTAACATTTCAAATTTGGCTTCAAATTACATCTTTTAATGTAATACATCATGGGATAAGATACTTTTAGTAAATCAAGGGAACTCAAGTAAGATATTGTTAAAACCTTGGATGCAACAATGACCCAATACATTATGTTTACCTCAAAGCCTTGTGCGAGAACCAAAGAGATAACTTGTATGGTATTGTTTGCCGTGAAAAATGGTAAACAACCGCTGATCTTCCAAAAGGTTACTTATTTGGTGACTCGCAGAATCGATCAGATTGATCCTAAGACATGGTTGATTTTTGGAGTTTAAATGCTTTGAAATAAAGAGTTTCGACTAATCTTAATGGTGATTAATGCAAGTAAAGTAGAGACACTTTAAATAAATTGCATGGAGAAAAGCTTGATAAAGTAAATAAAAGCATTAAAGGGTTGTTAAATAAATGACTTCGACTGAGGTAAATAAGTGAAAGCGATAAATTGCTTGAATGTAAAAGATTTTGATTAAGGTAAATGGTGTTTCACACATACATTCTCAATGATTCTTTCTCTCACGCTGGGTACTTGAATCTAAATGAGTGACTTGTATACAATGATGAACACCCCTAATAACTTCGTGAACACTTAGTATTTATACTAAAAAAATCCTAAGTAACTGCTGGGCAGTCACACCGCTTCGTGATAACACCACATGGCACGCTCACAACCTTCGACGCCTACGTTCACGACACGTTGCGCTTGGTAACTGCTGGGAACCGTTTTCCCTCCAACAATTCAAAATTCAAACCGTTCGATCTTGGGCATCAGGGACCTTGGTCGAAAGGTTGCTCCTTCGACATCGAAGACAACATGATTCCAACTTAGAGGAATTTCTCTAAGTATGTTGTCATTCTTTGATGAGCATTCGATGTGATCAGCTGATCGAAGCCTTCTTGTGTAGGAAACTCTTCTGACTCATAATTAATGATCTATATGATAATAGAACGTGGGTGTCAAATTTAGGAGCCAACAAATTGCCCCCCAAGAATGTCTTATTTCGACGCTTAGAAGAAAGATGCATTCTTTGATATTCCATTCGACACCTGTCCTTCACTCTCAGCCACAAATTAGTTTGTGTGTTTTTCGTCTCCTACCAACCATCTGACAATCTCAAAAAATCATCATTTCAACTTTTCCCAAGACGTCACTTCAGTAAGGCACTTCGCACGCACGATGGCCTTTCACACGTTGTCATCATGACCATTATCTGAAATCGAGGAAGCATGCTGCAACGTTTCCGTTTTTCAGAACGGTTACATCGCCAAATACGTGCCACGTGCCCCACTACCGTCTGTGGCATTAAATGACCTCGAGCCCTGTGATTTTTTCAATCACTATAAATAGCACTAAGTGGCTCAGTTGGACTCTTTACGCTTTCTTGCATCCAAACCTTCGATCGAACGAAATTTTCTGCAAACAACCCTTTGCTTCTTAATTGCCCCCCAAGAATGTCTTGCTCAGTAATCCTGTTGAGAGCGACAACTCTAGCCCTGGGGCTGAGGTTCCTTTACATGTAATGCCTCCGACCACTTTTAACTTAAGTGTCGATGATCACCTTCGATTGTGCATCTCTCTAATCAGAATATTTTTCCCTTTCTATTTTTAGGAAACGAATGGAACTTCAGCGCCAGCTGGGCATCCTGTCGAAGGTTCCGGTACCTTCGTAAACAGCGCAGGGGAACCTACCTACAATCCTTCTTCTTTCGTCAATTCTGCTAACGAAGTGAATCAAACTTCAGAGCCGCAGGACTCTGCTGACCATAGCAGACAACGCGAAGAGGAACTGGTGGATGATGAATTTCTTGCTGAGACATAGGGTGCCCCTGAGAAGCACCACCAGGAGGAAGTCCAAGTGGTCAACGAGACAGAAGAGCAACATGATGAAGAGGGTCATGTTGACGCCGATGCTGCTGAAAATGCTCAGCCCCAAGCCACCATTGCCGCAGAAAAGGTTACCTCGACAAAGCCCAGGTCTAAAGAGGACTTGGCCCTCTTGAAGCAAAATGATCCAATTGGCTACCTGAACGCCATCGTCGAGAGCAGGGAAAATTCATCTGACCCTAGTCATGATGCTTCTACTGCATCAGGGAAGTCTACTTCGACTTCTCCTCTCGATGAGGTCTTGAAGAAAGTTAAGGCTCAATTCTTCAAGAGGGACCTAATGAAAGCTTTGGAGGGGGATCCTACTGCCCAATCTTGTTTGGGGGCTGTCTTGGGTGCAGTTGATTTACTTGTTGTTTCTCTAGAGATTTCCAGCTTCATCTTGGAGTTATACTCCATTATTGACCAAGTCTTTGCGGATTACAATCGTCGAAGGGGGTTCAACAGCCAACTCGAAATGCTGCATGGCAAGAGTTCTTCTGCTTGGACTGAAGTAGCTGAATTGACTTCTCGAATTGCAGAATTTTCGAAATAGAGAACGTCCAAGCAACATGAATTCGAAGCCATCGATCAGGATAATGCCTCTATACGGGCGCATATCGAGGAGTTGGAAGCCAGGTTAAACGCTAATACTAAGCGCAAGGAAGAACTTCTTTCGACTGTTTCAAATGAGGAGAGCCAAGATGAAGTTGCTCGAGGCCTAGAGTTCGCTGAAAGGGCCCAGACTCTAGATGACCAGATTGCCAAAATCTCTCAGGCGAATGCCTTGTGCAACAAACGACTGGAGTTACAGCGAGCAAAATATCTTCGTCTCAAAGCTTCCATCCCTTTTTAATTTTCCCTGTACTTCATTGACCATGTACTGTAATTTTTGTAGCCATTTTGGTTTATCAATGTTATTTTCCATTTTGGCTTTATGGTTAACTTAATCATTAATTATTATTTATTTTGATCTCTTGGAGCATAGGTTTATATTTTTTCAAATATTTGCCGTTTACTCTCAAGAGTCTTTTATCTTCGCTTAACTCTTCGACCTCATATGCTCCACCAGAAAAAGTTTGAATAATTTTGAAGGGTCCTTCCCACTTGGGTGACCATTTTCCCATGCTTCGATCTTTTCAATCCATAGGAAGAATTACCTTCCAAACTAGTTCTTCAGGCGAGAATGCCTTAGGTTTTACTTTCTTATTGTAAGAGTCTTCCACTCTTTTCTTCTGAATTCTCAGTAGGTCGAGAGCTCGTAGTCTTTCTTCATCTAAATCTACCAATTCGTCTAACATCATATCCCAATAAACCTCAGAGGGAATATCTTGATGTCTTTGAACCCTTGCTGATTGAAGACAAATTTCTGCCGGCAGTACTGCGTCATGACTGTAAGTTAGCCGATATGGTGTTGTACCCGTGGCTTCCTTTGGGGACGTTCGACAGGCCCACAAGATCTGGTCTAACGTTTTATGCCAATTTTTTGGCTTCTTTCCTACATGCTTTTTTATCAGGCCAATCACTAATTTATTCGCCGCTTCGACTTGATCATTTGCCTGCGCGTAATAAGGTGTTGATGTTAGGAGTCTGAAGCCTGTTTCTTGCGCGAATTCCTGCATCTTTCGACCAGTGAACACTGACCCTTGATCAGTTGTTATAGTATCAAGGATTCCAAATCTGTAGATAATGTTCTTTTGAATAAATTCAATGACATTTTCTTGGTCTGCATTGACTAAAGGGATAGCTTCGATCCATTTAGTGAAATAATCAATGCCTACCAGTATATACTTCTGTTTCTTCGATGATACTGGTCGAATCTCTCCAATAAGATCCAACGCCCATCCTCTAAAAGGCCAAGGTTTCACTATTGAGTGAAGCTCGCTTGCTGGTACATGTTGGATACCAGTATGGACTTGGCATTCCTG